TCGTTATTTTGTAAGCTGGTGGTGTTCCCTGCAGTTTCATCTCATGTTTTAATTGCTTTCGCGGAAACTGTGGCTAAATTAATATTGAAATCTTAGATTATTTGTTGAACGCATGGATCAACCATTATACCGTCCTCATGGTTTTCTAGTGTGTTCAATTTTTTGTCAGTTACAGAACTAGGAGGGATATTTGCTTTTTTATGAAAGTTTTTTTTCAAGTTAAGAATTTTTAATCAGAACTGAACATGTTTCGATAGAATTTTCCGAAATTTCTTTTAGAAGTGTCGGTTGAACTCTTTTTCTTATGAACGTTGCTACTCCAGAGCCTCTGTTTGTGCGCGTGCAGCTTATAAGGGGCTGGTTATCATCACCAGTCAAGAAATTTGTATTTTTATCAACTTTGATCCAGTTTTTAGTCAAACGTATTACTGTTGGTTTTTCATGTGTGCCTTGAATGAAAAACTCTAATTTTCCAAAGTTTTGAGGAAGGCATCTGATGTTCTGTAAAAGAATTTAAAAAAAAACATTCGCTACGAGTCGAATTTGTTCCAATGTCCATGTCAGACTTTCGAATGTAACTTTCAAAATACAGGTTTAGACCTTTCGTTGTTTGTATATCAAAGAGACATTAAATTCATCTAAAAACCGCTTTGAAAATTCGAAGAAGAGTTAATACGTATCTATTTTGTAATATATTGGAAAACTTCTCCTAATTTGGCAAAAAATAGGTTCCCCCATATATATACATACGCACTTACATTTTTTTGTTTCTGCTTCTCCTGCGGAAATAACTGAGACAAGCAATTTCTAGACATTTTATGTTTTAAAATCCTATCTGAGCCTTTAAAAAGCATGAAATGTTTCACGGCGAAAAGCAGAATGACTAATCTTCATTGTAAACTAGAATTGATTGTGATAACAGTAGATGAATTGACAGACAACTGTCTTGTTTGCAATGCGGTAATCACAATTACAACTTAATTGAAAGACTGTTAGTTTCTTGTTTTACCCAGCAGAAATCACTGGGGTGAAACTAATAACCTGCATCAGATGTTAATTTTTTTTCTTGCACTGCGCAAATCACAGCGGCCAGCCTCACAATAACTGAAAAAAAAAAAACAGGCAGAAATCACCAGGTTTTTTCCAATAATCTTTTGAAAACATGCGCTCTACTGTTATGGTTATGTATTAAACTAAAATGAAAGTCAATTGACCTACTTCCAAGAAAAAATAAAAGAAGGAAAAACATCTCTGAACAGATTAAATGAAGAAAAAAATATATTTTGAAAGGTAAATCAACCTAATGTTGATCTTATCTAAAGAAGAGATTTCTATTCAAAGTGCGCGGTACTCATATATGAGCTAGCTTGAAAACAATTTTTCAAGGCAGGATTTTTGAACCTTCTGTTTTCTACTTTAAAACCAAGCAATTTAATCAACTTGTTTAAAACAAAAAAAATTTAGTCCAAAGCAAAAATGTCAGTTTTGCTTCCATGCGCTATCATCAATGCAATTGCGAAAGTTCAATTCAGTTTTCATCTAATTTTTGTTTTTCATTAGCTGGAGAAACTTTATCCAGGAGCAGCTCATTTCTCGCGTTAACTCTTAACAGTTATTTTTAATTGAAAAATGACTGATACTACCAGGTATTGCTTGAAGCCAAATTGTTTACAGCCTAACCTAATTAATTAACAGGATCTTTTACACCCCCCCCACACATTTAGATTTTGACTTTGAAATACGAAGTGAAAAAGAGTTATAAGGTGCTGAAACTTTGCATGGACAACAAGTTCAAGTTTACCACATTGAACATATTTAATTTTTTTACTATAAGGAAAAAATCACCAGTTTAGTCATAGTAGCTTGTAAAAAGAAACTGAACATGGGAGTTTTAGTTGCAGCGAGGGGGTTCGAAAAGAATTGATACAACGCAGCTAGGGAGATGGGGTCCAAATCATTTCTAGCAAACTTAACACAAGAGATGAAATTTTTTGATTTTGATGAGTTTTGCGTTGACATTTTTTATAAAAAAGTGGGAAGATAAAAAAGAGCTGAGAAGTCAGTTCTCGGAAACCAAACAGACATAAAACTGCGTAAATGATGCTTATACGAAAACGTTTTTAATTATGAATTTGAAGCGATTGTTGGCTAGTTCATAGAGTATGTTCAGATAGAGTACACCGTCTTTTAGTCACGCTATTTCTTTGGCCGGATAGTTCCGTGCCACTTATTGGTCTGATACTGGTACTCATTTTAATGTTGTTTATTTTTCGAAAGATCCTAAACACTTCGCTAAAAGCGATTAATTGTTGATCAATTTTCTTCCATTAAGAAAGTGGTCTGACTAAGGGCACTCAGAACTTTACGGTAACAAAAATAAAGGTTAGTTGTGAAATATAATTGGCTAGTAATAAAAAACACTTTGCATTCAAACTGAGTAAAATTTAAAAAACGAAAACGAAGATAGCCGGTTACTATGAAAGTAACACAGAATGTTCCGACCACAGTCTTTAAAAGCCAACGAATTTTTTATTAAATATTTATTTTTTTTCTGCGTGACGTATTTAATTGATCTGACATAAAAAATATAATTAAGTCATATTCGACAATCATAGTATAATAGGCAAACAGGACAACAGTTTTTGAAGAAAAACAACAAAGGAAAGAGCTCAAATTTTTTTGTCATTTTTTGTAGAAATTTTTATTCTCAAATTTTTGATTCCAAAATGGCATTAAAACTTTCCAAAAACTGAATGTATTAAATAAAAAAAATTAAGCACTAATTAAGCTATATTAAACGGCTTTAATCGAGCATAAGTAAGCGTTCTCGCTCGCTTTGCTGACGCAAACAAAGAAAAATAAATAGAAATTTCAAACCAGTGAAATTTTTGAGTTTTTTCAAATGTCTTTCGAATCACGACTGAACGAGTTTTAAAATTATAATTGTGGAAGCTGATTTCGCGTGGAAAACAAAAAAGAAGAAAAAAATAACAACACGCCCGAATACAAAGTTAAATTGTCGGAAAAATAAACAATGGGCCGCAATTTACACCAGTCGTGTGGTAAAAAAGGAGAGAGGAGAGCTGAGACATCAGTTTTCGGAATTATGCTTTAACAAGCATAAAGCTGCGTAAGTGGTGCTTACATGATGGAGTTTCTTATTTTTTTATTAGTTGTGTGTTGATCTCGTACAACCCAGGGCGAGGTCGGCGACTCATGTTGCGACGAAATGAGTAGGCGATATGGACTTTCTGCGACCGAAATTCCATCATCCCGCAGGAGATTTGAGTCGCACAAAGTCGTAACATAGCTTTTTTCTTAAGAAAAAAGGAGGGTAAGGGGAATTGTTGAATTAGAGCTGAGAAATCAATTATCGGAAGCCTAACACGCATAAAGCTGCGTAAGTGGTGCTTACATAATAAGGTTTTCTTCTTGATCTCGTGCAAGAAAAAAAAGGAGAAGGGATCGGGAGAGTGTTGCTTACATGATGGCGCTTTTGATTTTGATGAGTTGTGTGGTGATCTGGTAAATGAAAAAAACTGGGGTTGAAAAATCAGTTCTTGGAAACTTAACACACGTAAAGCTGCGTGTAAATGGTGCTTACATGATAGGGTTTTTCAAATCTCGATCTCGTGCACTAAAAAGAGGAGAGGGGATCGGGAGAAGAAAAAAAGCTGAGAAATTATTTTCAAAAACTAACAGAGATAAAGGGTAAATGGTGCTTACATGATGGCGTTTTGATTTTGATAAGTTGCGTGTTGATCTCGTCAATGAGAAAAAATGAGGGGTGACAAGTTGAAAAATCAGTTATTGGAAACTTAAAACTCGTTAAGCTGCGTGTATGTGGTGCTTACATGATAGTGTCTTTTATCTCGATCTCGTGCACTAAAAAGAGGAGATTAGATCGGGGAAAAAAAGCTGAGAAATCATTTTTAAAAACTAACAGAGATGAAGGGTAAAGTGGTGCTTACATAACGGCGAGTTTTGATTTTGTTTGGTTGTGTGGTAATCTAATAAAAAACGAGGGGAGGTGGAAAGGTTGAAACAGAGCTGAGAACTCAGTTCTCAAAAAAAATTAGAGTTCAATTCAGAAATGAAGGGCTCACATGATGGCGTTTTTGATTTTGATGAGTTGCGTGTTGATCTCGTACATGAGAAAAAAGGAGGGATGAAAATTTGAGAAATCAGTTTTCGGATACTTTACACACGTGAAACGGTGTATAAGTGGTGCTCACATGATGGCGTTTTTGATTTTGATGAGTTGTGTGTTGATCTCGTACATGAGAAAAAAGGAGGGATGAAATTTTGAGATATCAATTTTCGGATACCTTACACACGTGAAGCGGTGTATAAGTGTTGCTCACATGATGGCGTTTTTGATTTTGATGAGTTGCGTGTTGATCTCGTACATGAGAAAAAAGGAGGGATGAAAATTTGAGAAATCAGTTTTCGGATACTTTACACACGTGAAACGGTGTATAAGTGGTGCTCACATGATGGCGTTTTTGATTTTGATGAGTTGTGTGTTGATCTCGTACATGAGAAAAAGGAGGGATGAAAATTTGAGACATCAATTTTCGGATACCTTACACACGTGAAAGCTTACACACGTGTTGCTTACATGATGAAGTTTTTAATTTTGATGAGTTGTGTGTTGATCTCGTAAATGAGGAAAAAGGAGGGGTGAAGTTTTGAGAAATCAATTTTCGGATACCTTACACACGTGAAACGGTGTATAAGTGTTGCTTAGAAGATGGCGTTTTTGATTTCATTGAGTTGTGTGTTGATCTCGTACATGAGAAAAAGGAGGGATGAAAAATTGAGAAATCAATTTTTGGATACCTTACACAAGTGAATCGGTGTAAAATTGTTGCTTACAAGATGGCGTTTTTGATTTTAATGAGTTGTGTGTTGATCTCGTAAATGAAGAAAAATGAAGTTGAAAAGTCAGTTTTTGGAAACTTAACAAACGTAAAGCTGCGTGTATAAGTGTTGCTCACATGATGGCGTTTTTGATTTTGATGAGTTGTGTGTTGATCTCGTAGAGGTAGCAGATGAGAAGGTATCTCTCCAGGGCGATTGAGATGAGGATGAAGAGGGTGGTGAAGTAGGTGCAGTGGAACAGGAAGAAGTAGAGGGCACAGGGGATGTTGTTCATGTCCGGGTCCATCCAGATGAAGATGTCCATCGGAATCACTTCAACAAGTCAGAAAAATACATAAAACAAGAAGATGTCCATCGGAATCACTTCAACAAGTCAGAAAAAAACATAAAACAAGAAGATGTCCATCGGAATCACTTCAACAAGTCAGAAAAAAACATAAAACAAGAAGATGTCCATCGGAATCACTTCAACAAGTCAGAAAAAAACATAAAACAAGAAGATGTCCATCGGAATCACTTCAACAAGTCACAAAAATACATAAACAAAAGATGTCCATCGGAATCACTTCAACAAGTCAGAAAAATACATAAAACAAGAAGATGTCCATCGGAATCACTTCAACAAGTCAGAAAAATACATAAAACAAGAAGATGTCCATCGGAATCACTTCAACAAGTCAGAAAAAAACATAAAACAAGAAGATGTCCATCGGAATCACTTCAACAAGTCACAAAAATACATAAACAAAAGATGTCCATCGGAATCACTTCAACAAGTCAGAAAAATACATAAAACAAAAGATGTCCATCGGAATCACTTCAACAAGTCAGAAAAATACATAAAACAAGAAGATGTCCATCGGAATCACTTCAACAAGTCAGAAAAATACATAAACAAAAGATGTCCATCGGAATCACTTCAACAAGTCAGAAAAATACATAAACAAAAGATGTCCATCGGAATCACTTCAACAAGTCAGAAAAATACATAAACAAAAGATGTCCATCGGAATCACTTCAACAAGTCAGAAAAATACATAAAACAAAAGATGTCCATCGGAATCACTTCAACAAGTCAGAAAAATACATAAAACAAGAAGATGTCCATCGGAATCACTTCAACAAGTCAGAAAAAAACATAAAACAAGAAGATGTCCATCGGAATCACTTCAACAAGTCACAAAAATACATAAACAAAAGATGTCCATCGGAATCACTTCAACAAGTCAGAAAAATACATAAAACAAAAGATGTCCATCGGAATCACTTCAACAAGTCAGAAAAATACATAAAACAAGAAGATGTCCATCGGAATCACTTCAACAAGTCAGAAAAATACATAAACAAAAGATGTCCATCGGAATCACTTCAACAAGTCAGAAAAATACATAAAACAAGAAGATGTCCATCGGAATCACTTCAACAAGTCACAAAAATACATAAACAAAAGATGTCCATCGGAATCACTTCAACAAGTCAGAAAAATACATAAACAAAAGATGTCCATCGGAATCACTTCAACAAGTCAGAAAAATACATAAAACAAGAAGATGTCCATCGGAATCACTTCAACAAGTCAGAAAAAAACATAAAACAAGAAGATGTCCATCGGAATCACTTCAACAAGTCACAAAAATACATAAACAAAAGATGTCCATCGGAATCACTTCAACAAGTCAGAAAAATACATAAAACAAAAGATGTCCATCGGAATCACTTCAACAAGTCAGAAAAATACATAAAACAAGAAGATGTCCATCGGAATCACTTCAACAAGTCAGAAAAACATATAAAACAATTAAAATTGAACGAAATTAAAAAAAATATAGGTATATAATTAAGAACTGTTTTCTAATAGACAATTCCGATTTATATGAAATCGTTTTTTTAGTTAGTATCTTGATCTATAAATGTTAGTATCTTGATCTTCGTGTTTTTTTTTGGTTTTCCAGAGTCTCGCCTCGATGAGCCTCAGGGCTCGTGCGCGATCCTTATGAGTTAAATACTGTATATGTATATTTTCTCACTAAATATATCAAACTTCAAAAACTTTTAGCTGTATTGTCACACTTGAATTTAGCCAAATTGTGATGATCTCTATCACACATCAGGAAAAAAACAGAGCTCCTTTGCCTGTTCTTATACTTGAGTTGAGTCAATCTACAAAATCATATTGACACTTTTAACTTTTTTTTCAACTTTTGGTGTTCTGGCTCAAATTTTGTTAGTCGAAGAAGCAAGGTTCAACCATAGAGCAAAAATTCGTATGTGACTATGGTTTTGCTATAAAACTTGTTGAAAAGATTCGCTTATACCCTGCTTGTTTCCGGGTCTATCGAAATGAAACGATACGACTTTGTTTTAAAACAGAACCTAGCCAAATGATGAACAGGACTTTTCTCTTATAGTTCCCCGGCATAAAGCTCCTCACCCCATAAATGTAACATTACAGCGTGTCTAATTTTTTTGTAGGCTGGGTGTTTGAAGTGTTAGACTCAAACCAAAAACGGTCATCAAAAGTTTTAGCTATGAGACAGAAATTCGTATTTTTAATTACAAAGTTTGTAAAATGTAATCGAAAAAAGCCGAGAAGCGATAATTCGTAACAGATGTAATTCGATTAAGCGGCAAACACTAATTTATGCGCATCAATCCTCTCGTGGTCGATGTAAGCGTATTCTACTTATGCTAATGTCGTCTGTTACGAATTATCGCCTGCTACGAATTGTCGCCCAACCTAAAAAATTAACAATTTGTATGTGAAATTCTGATTGCGCCCTGGTGATTCATAGTTTCAACTCGCACTAGAGCAAAACTTTGTTAATACAAATATAATCTTGAAAAAATCGTTGGTTTGATGCAAAACCGTTAATAACACTATATGTCATATCAATGGTTTTGTTGATAGTTTTATATAAATTTTTAGCCAAACCGATTTTTTTCTTCAGAAAGATTATTTGGTGGAATTAGGCAATTTATATTTTTTGTTCAAATAAAGCAAACTGATACAGCATTTACTTGTAAGAAAAACAGTTTAAAAATGAAATCAGCCGAATAACCTCTTCCCCGCAAGATAGCCCTGAGATATGGCTCCTCAGAAATTTACTTTGACTGCAAGTCAATTTGATCTTTAATATGAAACATTATTTGAAAAATCATACTGAATAGTGTTTTGAGTTATTAACACTATGGAGTATCTATCCCATATCATAAATTTGTTAAGCAATAATTTCTGTGCGCTTGTTTGACTTTTTTGTTACATAATCAAAATATAAAGTTAATACGTGGTTAGAGGAATACGTGGTTAGATGTGACGAGCCTTATTTTTTTGGATTTTTTTTTTCGTACAAAAGTAACTTTAGGAAAAAAGTACGTTGAAAAAATAACTCAAAATTGTAATTGATTTTATTTTCAGTTTCAACCAATACGAAAATCTTGAAGAAACTTGATATGATGCATTAATTTTTGAACAACAAGATGGTTTTTTGTGTGAGAGAGCTTTTTTTAAAACGCTTAAAAAGGATTAGTAAATTAAAGAACACGATGAAACATCTTACATGCAGTTAAAATACTTCAAAAATGCAATTAATTTTTATTTTTACTTTCCAGCTCCTTCACGAGGGCGTAGTTTGAGGGGTTACGCTTGAATTGAAGTGAAAAAGAAAAATTAAAAATGTGAATTAAACGTTCTCCAATTTTCAACTACTTTGCAAATGTCAATATAATTAACAGCATCGTGCAACATTTCTTTTGAAACGAATTCTGTTCAATTTTGATGATAACTAAATTTGTCTGCAAGTCGACTTTTATCATTGTCACAAAGTCTAAATAATCAGTTAGAATCAATTTAAAATGGATCAAAACGCTAAAAACTAATAAAGCATGAAAAACCATTGCAAATTAATTATAAATGAATATTTTTCACTTTTATAGAAAAAGACAAAGAATCTTCTATATAATCGATTTTTCCCCATTTTGTTGAGATGCGAATACTAATGCACACAAGGGTCACTTGCACGTTTTAAACAAAAGTTGGTTACCTGTTGTTTAATTTGAGTTTTTTCCCGAGCAACTTTGATTTGTAACCCTTTTATATTACTCAAATTTGTTGCTTTCAATCATTTTCTTAATTTATTGCGAAACTTGGGGGAAGATGAAAAATAGGAAAGGGGGAGATAGACAAAAACTCTATATTTGTTTCTATTATTAAGAATGCTCATACTAATTTTACAAAATAACCTGAAAAGTTGCAGTTTTTGTGAAAATTGCCCAAAAACAAATTTTTCATATTCTGAAAACTAATTTTTGTGGAGAGGATTAATATTTATATTAGTATGTTTTTTCTAAGTACTCTTTATATTTTTATGTATGACAATACTAGTTTGACAAGGATCGCGCACTGAAATACCCAAAAGTAAGTTTCGTAAACTCTATTGTCAGGAAATGTGCAAAATGGAGGGAGCTGGAACTGTTTGCTTTTTGAGAAAACTTAGGTTTAGAAATTGAGCAGGGCGTAGACTCGTTTTGCAAACTCGTTAATAAAACAATGAATTATAATCGATTTTTCATTCAATTTTGTTTTATGAGGATCAATTTTGTTGTCAACATGGGATTTGATTAATTTTAATAAATTCTTAGACTTCGAAAATCAATTTAAATTGTTTTTTTTTTTCAATTTTCTTAGATGTCGGTACCTAAGTTTTTTTTTGCCAGCTGATGCATATAACCATTGGTTGACTGTATAAAAACTATACTATCAAATAATTGACATATGTAGTGACTGGCCAATGATTTGTAGCAGTAGACAATTTGTAACAGACAAAAATTTGTAACAATAAGCGACAATTTGTAACAAGCAACATTTTTAACAACTTTTTGACAAGTAGCAACCAGGTGCTCCAGTTCGCTAAACGACACGAAAAGATTAGTGCGGTAAACGCTTTCCATTACAAACTCTCGCTTGTTACAATTTGGACCCTGTTGCGAATTGTCTCTTGTTACGAATCATGGTTGCATCACGATATGCATCAGCGGGCGAATGACTCTTTTTAATGTCCACTTTCCTGATTAACTTCGACCAAAAAGTCTCTATCTCATATTAGCTTTCTGAGAACGTATTTCAGAAGCAGATATCTTGAAACAGTTCATGGAAACAATAAAAATAAAATGGTTTAAAAATCTCCAAAATATATATTTGACTGAAAATTCTTGCGATAAGTTTGATTGATATTGATACTCAAAATACATTAAATCTTTCAAAAAAACGCCAAAATTGGTCGTATCAATGAGGAACCCAAAATATTCCGACTGCCCTTTGACGTCTCGATGAAAGATTTTTCGATAAGAACGTTAAAAAACGTCCAAAAAACTATTTGCCGAATTTTTACCGCTCACGTTACGGGAAAAATATATCGCGCTTTAATTATTCCAAATCGGTCAAATTGGTGGCTTTTTTCGAACCTCTCAATAATTTTACAAAACATTCGTTTTAATTTCGGGTTCAGGATAACAGTAGTTTTCAGATGATATTAAAATTACAGTCAAAATGGCTAGTTAATGATTCAAAACTTGTCTGTTGAAAAAAAAAATGACGCCGAGCAAAAATATTCCGTAACCCGCATTGGCAAAACTGAAATTGCAATCGATTGTCGCAAGTAAAATCTACAGTTCAGCAAGCTAGTTTAATTTCATGCACTATACAATGGATTTTTTTGACTTTCAAATCGATTACAGTCGGTTGCAATTTATACTTATCTTAATCGATTCGATAGTGACCAAAATCAATTCCCTAAGTGCATTTTTTGGTAGAGATTAAATACAGATTTTATACAGGTTATATACACATTTTATACAGATTATTTACCCTATAAAATCCATTGTAATTTCGTTTAAAATTAAAAAAAAAAATTCGAAATCGATAAAAACAACATAAAACCCTCTAAATAAGACCCAAGCTGATATTTTTTTTCTGATGAAAGGAGAATATGGTCTATTTTTATTGTTTTTACTGGATTTTGATTGTTTGGGAATTGATGTTGGTTGTGGGGGGATAAAGTTGAAAAAAAAAATGTTTGTTATCATCAACACGTTTTTCAGAAAAGGATCGATTCGAAAGCTTCAAAGCAGCTGCCACATAAATAGTGAGTTAAGTAGTGAAAAAAGCGGAGAATTCAGATTGATACAAACAAACCTATTGAAATACCTTCAGCGACCTTTTTCGCTATCTAATACATTGGTTTTTTCCCAATACCTGATTTTTACAAATAGTTTTTCAATATTTTTATTGTTTTTTTTGAGCTCAAAATCTGATTCATGTTGATCATTTTCTTCATTTATTACATATGTTTTTGGCCAAAATCTTGTTTATATTGGTGATTTTCATGATTTTATTGCATATTTTTGTTACCGAATCTGGTTTGTATCGATGATTTTCTTGAATTTGTGTCGTTTAGATTGAATTCAATTTTTGTTTTGAGTCTTCAAACAGCATGCTACTAAAAGTAAAAAAATCAATTCTTTAGACAATATAATCAATTTTTAGACAATATAATCGATTTTTCGGGTCCTTAGAAAATGCATTTCAATCGATTATAATCGATTTTATACAGAATCTATACAGATTTTATACCGCAAAAAAAATCCATTTTTAGACTATAAAATCGATTTTTTTTCAGAACTGTATGAAATCCCTAAATTATCCATTCTGCTGTCTAATTGGGTTACATACAATCGATTTTTAACTAGTAAAGAATCTGTATAAAAATCGATTATAATCGACTGCAATCTTATTTTTGCCAATGCCCGGGAACCCTCTCCGAAATAACGAGTTCGTTAAATTCCTAAACAAAGTGGAGCCTTAGGAAGCTTAGCTAAATACACTTAAAAGCTCTTCAAGACTGTGATGAGTTACATTAAGTGAGAGAAAAAGTTAATGACAAGTTAATCTGCCTTAAATTTTAAAATCAAAGTTAACCAGCTTGGTTTTAAACTATAATTTACCTGTCAAACACGCCACTAAGTCATTTGCTGCCAGAACGATTATCAAAGAATCGGTCGATGATTTCCTCTCCTTTTTGCTGTAAACCAGCAAAACAACAATATTGCCGATTGATCCCAGAAACGCCAGAAGAGCGGAAATCGCCAGGGTTTTAGGAGGAGGTTTATCCATGGTATAATCGTAATAATAAACCGTTGAATTATCTTGACTATTATTGACCAATGTCGAACTATTTGCCATATTGGTGATAAATTTTATCAAATAAATTAGCAGAGTTAATCACAGTTTGAAAAAAGAAGGATAATTTGTTGGAAAGGAAATAATTGTCGCAAGTCGGCGAATAGCAAAGGATGGATAAAAAGTGAATTAAAGGTATTTGCTGCTGTTTTTTCCTGCCTTTTTTCAAACCTTTTTCGCCAACTGAGGCAGATTGTAAATTGAAGGAGAACTGCTATAATTTGTTCCTTAATAAAAACAGTAAAACAGCAAGTCCTGTTTTTGAAGCCACTTTTCCTTCAAAAATTAGCTTGATAATTTATAACTTTTCCTCTGAAAAGACAAAACAGCGCGGCTTGATGAAAACTTTTTTCTAATTAGACCTCAAATATTGAGCCTTGGGGCCATAATTTATTTAGAATTAACGATCAAAACCGAGATGTTTAAATCATTTTTAACGATGGTGACGTTGAAAGCATAATGGATTCCATTAAATGAATTCCACTGAAGCTCAAGCTTCAAAAAATAGTCTCCTTTTTAAAGTTAGGCAAATTGTATAAAACAGGATATAATTGGTAGTTTTAGAAGTGATGTTTTTGGAAGTTTTGAAGCTGTTGGAGCGAATGTTACAATTTTTCATTAATGCTAAATAGAACTGCAAATTGATCAAAACAAATGTCGATGTTTGTTTGTGGAATCTTCGTTTTCGGAAGGAACTGTGTAGCTTCCTAAAACATAAAGTGGATGTTTTTGTCTCCTTTTAATTCGTGAAGAGCTCTTCAAGATACGAAAATGCCTTTCAAAAGTACTCAAAATGAAATGCAACCATTACTTTAAAATGTCAGTACCCGTGCGGATGTCTGTTGAATAAAAAAATTTCACATTATTTTTAGTTGGATGCTTTTTTTCGTTGGCAAGACAACCTAATTTATAAATCAACAGTCATTCATTAAGACCGCCCATTATTAGTTGAGATTTTTGTTCAAGCATTTTAATCCTCGCCGCATAATGTGAGCTAAATTTCAGAACAGTTGAATAATGGGCGGGATTAGAGCTGGGTGTGTTTGCAGGAAGTTTATGATTCTTTCAGCTTTTGAGTTAACTCGAAAAATAAAATAGGACGAACGAGACAGCGAAAAAAATAATTGTATAGTCAAAAAAGTTTATTAGTTTTGGAAATGTACAATTTCGGGAAAAATTTAGTTTTATCTGCATTACAGTTGTAAAATTAACAAAATAGTCGTTAGTCATTCAAAGTATTTTTCTAAAAAGTTGACGAAAAAAACTGCAGTTAGTGAATATCCTATATGGTTGGCTTAAATTTCTTCTGATTCCATTTAGCCATTTCGAAAAGCTTCAAAAAGGTTTGAATGATTTCTTTTTCAAGTCGCCTTGTAATTTTTTCATCGAATCAAACGCTATAATTTCCCTCAAGCTCAAATAATCATTTGACGGTGCCAACTATTAGAAGAGTTTTTAACTGCTTTTATGGCGCCTTTGCCTTAGCTAAAATTAATTCATCAGTAATTTAACTAAACGTTTTACGAGACGTAGATTTGACGTAGTTGGAACCAGTTTAAAGCTAATATTTATAACCAATTATATTCTTGATGAAATATAAAAAAATTTTAAATAATAAAAAATTTCTTACTAACCAATCGTGATCCATAACTAACACTGACAAGTATTTGTAGTGCTGAAACTACGAGTAGTTTCAGCACCAGAGCAGTTTGAATATAACTTGGTATACAGTTTTTCTCCTTTGGAACAAATTCCAGATAACTAACTCGCAAATACCAGTATGCGTTAGATCTTTTGAGACTAGAAGATATAAGAGTAAGATTAAAATCGGTATTAGACTAAGTATTTGTACGAATCTTTCCGGTCGAAAATAAGATAGCGTGACAAACAGACGGTGTACCTTATCTGAAGTTACTCTATGAGTGACCACGCCCGGTCATAACTCAAAGTTTTATATAGAAATTTTACGAGACGAAGATTTGACGTAGTTTATATGCAGACTTCACACGTCACGGTAACGTCCCCGGTTTGAGTTCCCCGATATAATTAGCAATGAAAAATTCTTAGCCCAATTTAAATTGGATTTCCATAGAAAAATCCGTGCTATTCATAGAAATATAAATTGGCAATTATTTATCAAAAAACATTGAAAAATTAGCGATAAATTACCGTTGATTTAGCGATAAGCTTTGTGAAAAATCAACGCTGATGTAGCAGTAAAAAACTTTATTGATACATCGGTTGGTGTTTTTGGTGTTTTGTTTGGTGTTTTTACTTAGAGAAGATCTAATATTTCCAGCATAAATAAACGATAAACAAAGACATTAATCTTTTGAAATTCTTTTTGAATTTTTCGATTACAAAATTATTTATTGCTAAGTGTCTTATTCAGGTCAAAAATGAGCCATTTTAGCTCAAATTTGGCATGGCAATACATGGCAAGGCATGGCCAGACATGGTAAATTAAAAAAAAACTTAGATTTTTTACTGCATAGTAAAATAAATTCACCGGGGTCAGTAAAAATTTGGAAAAAAAAAGTTTTTCAATTAAATTTTATGTTTAGAATGGCTTCACTTTGAGCCATTTCACCAGTAGTTCCAACTATTTTAAACTAATTTATTCCGAGAAACCTGAGTGAAGAATGAAAAAAGTGTTCAAAATTCACACTTCTGATTTATATGCGTGAGTTTGTGCGTGTGCGTGTGCGTCTGGAGGAGTGATTTAAGCCATGTCAGAAAAAGGAAGAAAACAACACCGGGTGAAATTCGATTTTTTTTACTATCAATCAAAAATTCTGAAATCTTTCTGAAACGTAACTAAAGAATCGATTCACAATTTGTTGCAGTTGATTGCCTAAAATTGAACGGAAACTGTCAATCATTAGAAAACCTTTCTCTCTAATTCGCTCAAAAATTTTAGTCTGTTGATTGAAAATTACGCTAATAATTTTCTTAATTTTTGACTTGTATGAATCACAATTTTCAATCTTTTATAATTTGTTGGAGAATCGCTAGGCAGATTTATTTTCAGAATTTCAAAACTTGAAAATTCCTCACCAATTTTAAGCTATATCATCGCGAAAAAATCATCGTGAAAAAATTAGCGCTTATTCAACATTAATGCATTGCTATTTCATTGCTAACTCATCGCTAAAAGTTGTTTCTTTATTAGCACTAATTTAGCATCTTTACTTGCTGTTACGGTAAAAATTTTCAAAAGTAATTGCTAATTCATCGCTAATTCACCGCTAACTTATTGTTAAAATTTTCAATTTTTTTTCCAGTTATGAATCAGTGCTAATGAATCATGTTCCAGTTATGAATCATGGTTAATCCTTAGCGCTATTTTTTATGGCAATAACTGTTTTTACATATTTTCGCTAGCTTTGCTAATTTGCAATGGAAACTCAATCCGGGTCACTGCAAAACATTGATTCATTTTCACGAGATGTCAAGGGCATCAAATAAATGATGAATAATCGTTATCTCAAACAATGAATAATCGGAAGCAATGAATAATCGTTATCTCAAATGAAACGAATGGAAATTATCAATGGACGAAATTGAATAAAAGCCCAGAAATGTTAAAACTTAAAAAAGAGAAAAGCTAAAATTTAATTATTAAGAAGAACTGATCAATGGGAAGGTTTTTTTGTTGTTTTTTTAGAATAAAAATTAACTTTTCTTTCTGCCCAATCTTTTGAAGTATGAAATAAAGAAAGCATAGGGCAATTTTTTCTTCCAATTTTAACTACCTCCATAAAAATTTCTAGGCGTTAATTTCGCTTTCTTTTGTAGTCTAAATTGTGCCGTTTTTCCTTGTTCCGCCAAATAAAATATTTATAAGTTGCACTAAATTTGACGCAAAATGCACTACCATTTCTGTTCTATGGAATGTTTTTTGTTTAATAGGCCACTTTTGATTTTTTAATTTGGTTACCTTTTTTGTAGCCAATTTATTCAAAACAACAAGAAACACCGAAAAAAATTAAAACGATTCTTATTTGCCATTCTTTTGTTTAGTGTTTCTTTCTGCTGAAGCTAGAAAAATGTCGCTTAAGATATTTTTGTCAGTTAGCATTTTGCTTAAACTCATCAAATCTGTTTTCATTAGTTTCTGGCTTAGTTTCAGAAAATTTTGGCCAATTTCAACCAAAAATTTAAGTTTATTGTTGTTAAAAGTTTATTTCGACTGCCTCATTTTTTTAGAGAAACATAATGATCGTCATAAATTTCTTGCTCTTCTTCTCAAACTAGGTTGCCGGAAGACATAGAAAAATAGCGCAAATGGATGCGTAATGTTTTATGAGTTGGAAGTTGTTTCTATAAGTTTTCGAAAAAGTAGCAAGGAAAAAGGGCCGCTGTAGTTTTTCGTGTGAAACTCATCGTTAAAAGAACTAAAAAACAAATAGCGCTCAATTCAATACAGAAAAAGATTATTGAAGATCAAAAGAAGAACGAAAGTCTCTCATTTTTAGGGGAACTATTTGCTGGCGAGAATCGATATCAAATTTTTTGAAATTTTAGAAACTCAAATGAAAGCAAGTGGAAGAATATCGAATATTTGCGCTGAATCAGAAATTGATAACAAGAAAAACATGCAAATTTCTCCTAATAAACCTTAAATTGTTTTAATTAATTTTTGTTTTTTTTTTAAGAAAAAAAAACGAAAATGAAACATCTTAAACGCTGATTAGTTTGAGTTTTTTTTCGATTGCTAGTTCAACCTTATCAACTATTCGAGTTTATTCCAATTTTTTGATTTTTTGTTTCTCAGTCAAACTAACACAACTAATCGTTGGAAGGTGTTAAAAGATATAAAAAATAAAGCCAGAAAAAAATTATTTGAGAGAAACACTGTTTTTAAAACGAATGAAAGCCAGTGTAGAGAAAAACCGGTTTAGTTTTCAGCTAATAAAACGAGCAAGCAGGTTTATACGCAAATAATTCGTTAGAACTTGTTTTTACTCCACAACTTTTCCTTTTTGAAGCTTTTCTAGCGCGTTCTTAAAAACAAAACAAAAAATTTGAAAGATTTAAGAAAATATACTTTTTTTAATGTTTGGTTGTGAAGTTTTGATAAAAATCATTTTGAGATATGCATATTCTACTCTTAATATCGAAAGTTCTCCTTTTCAGGCTTTCCTTGAGAAATGCTGAGAGCCGAACAAACCAAAAATAACCAACAACCAAATACAATAATTCTGTTTTTCCTTGTGGTCAGAATTTTCTGTGCTATTTGAACTGCAACCGGCTTTCCTTGCTTCATTTTTTTTTCAGACAAATAGTTTCTTTTGTCAATTTTTTCTTCGTTTCCTTAAGACCACCATTTGAGAATGAACAAAAGCTCTAACTGTTTTTTTTTGTATTATCAGGTAGTTTTCTATGTGAGCCGTACATAACCCTGAAGTTTATTGGCTCATTCGACTTATTTCTAGTCGAAAATTTTTGTCGCCATTTTAACATATATTAGGTGATAAGTTAAAGGAATAATGGCAAATAAGTAAACTTGCGTGGATTTATTTTTAATTTTGTGTAATGTTTTTATTGCTTCAGATATTTTTTTGTTAATTTGCTTTTTTACTATCAAACTTATTTTGCATTCAATTAAAGCTAAGTTTCAGAATTTTTTGTCCAATTTAAACAGTGAAATTAAGTTTTTTTGTTTTAGTTGTTTATATGACTTCTCCATTTTGAAGCACTTTTT